ACCACTCAGCACAATGTCGTAAGCTTGCAAGTAAGACCTGAACTTTGGCATTTTAAATGCAGTAAGTCATGTATTCACAGAAATAGCTTCTTCAGAGAGGCTCACATCGCTCTTTACTGACTTTCTCAGGTGGTTCTACTTATTTAACTACATATTGTTCACTGATAACTAAAGGCTACAAGCAATAAATTTAAGAAATTGCATTTTTGATACAGAAATGGATTATACATTTAGGTTTTTTGAATTTTTTTTGCCCTCTCTGCTGATGACTTCTTCTCAAAAAGTAAACTGTCAGTCGGCTAATCTGTTGTAATTCCGTTAAAAACCTATCTAACTTATTTGTCATTTAATTACAATTAATGTGGTGATTTGTCTATATCTATACTGTATAATTTTTGCTCCTGAGTATTAAAAATTTTGTGGCTTATATTATTCTTCAGTATTACATGTGTTGCTTTTCTCAGTGCTGTACAGCACCGAGATATGTGTGTGTGTGTGTGTGTGTGTGTGTGTTTGTGTAACTCGTTTTGACTCAGACATTCACGACCATGTTGCCACTGTGAAACATGAGTTGTGCAGCACTGACACATGTACTGTGATAGGTTTATTTGATAGTGTTTTGTATTTAATTCCCCTCCCCTTTGTATATTCGATTTTTGCAGATTTGCAGTGTGTGTGATAGAACCTAATCGCTTCACTGCAGCTTCTCCTCTTTCCTGCTGTGCTCCAGCTAAAATTTGCAGAGCTTCAAAATATGACTTGCATGCATGTGAAATATCAACAATGCAATATGCCTTTTTACACTAACAATAAATGTAAGGCAGAGCACAGCTTGGTTTTAATCAGGAGGTGAGGGTGTTGATGAAAATATTGCGGTTGTGGACTCTTGAAGGTGTCATAAATGAGGTTGTTAATATTGGAGTTTCATCAATGGCAGCATTACGCAGGCCGCTCCTGCAGGGGCGAGGCCGTGCAGAGGGCTACAGTGTCAGAAGTTGGCAGCTGAGCCAAAACCAGAGCCGTATCCTCAAGTGAACTCTCCACGACGTACGGTGCAACAGGCTCTGCCAAGTTTTTTGAATTCCTGCCACATGTTAGATGGTAAACAACTGACTAGCAGAAACAGTGTCTTAGATAGATGAGGAAGGCTAAGGGACTCTTCAAATTGCTGATGAAACATGCATTTGTTTACACTATTGTTTGATTTATATTCAGCTCGCAGTTGTTGTGGCGTTTTATGCTTGCAGCGATCGCAATTGGTTCAAAGACGTGGCGAGATGTGACGTCACAGGGTTCAATGTGATGACTGGTGCTCGATCCATTTTTCTCATCAAGGGACACGAGTGAATTCATACCTTAATAAGAAACCATCGGTTGCCTCTTGTCGAAGCCCTGTAGTAACCAGATTTCTTTCTCACTCGTGCTCATTTTTCACAACTGTTAAGTTTTTCGTGTTGGTGCGTTGTGTGTTTTTGATATGCGGATGGTGCAGCGGGACACAGAACACAGGGAACCTGAGTTTCATTTGAGACTGTGGAAAGCTGAGGAGAGTTGGGCAAGACAAGTGCACTCACTCTCTGTCTCTCTCTCGCCCTCTCTCTCTTTCTGAGTCCGTCCTCTGAGGTAGAAACACACACACATATACACACACATACACACACATACACACACACACAGCAGCGTAACGCCTTTTCTTTCAGCATCCAAGACTGAGAGTAAGGAGGTAGGAGACACTGCAACTAACCAAGCGGCCATATTAGTTTGCTGTTCAGTCGCTCATATTCGCTCTGCTCTTCGTCTACTTCTCCACTGTAAGAAAAACCACGTATGATAAAATGGTTAAGTGTACATAGGGGAGGTTTTTCCCACCTTTTTTTGTTTCAATGTGCGCAATTCCCCTTTAGATTCTGTGTGAGCAATAAAGACAGATTGAAATCAAGACCAGCTAGCCGTGCTCCATGATGTGAGATCCGTCGTTTTTTTGGACAAGTTTTTTCCCTTTTTCCCCTCTCTTTTGTGCGGCTGCTACTTTGGGGAGAGAGGAGGGGAAAAAATTTGCCTGTGCTGAGTTCTGGGTTTCTTTTGGGAAAGAGAAGACTGGAGGGGAGGGGAATGGCGTCCAAAGAGAGAGGAAGTTGTTTTTTTGCCATGGGGGAATCTGTTGCAAACAGCTAAGGGGCATTACAGCATTTTGGCCACAGAGAGAAGTTTTTGGGGACAGAAGTTGGGTGGAAACCGGACGGGTGTGAATAACCTTCAGCAGGCTGATGCAGAGGTTGGTAGGGATGCATGAGACCCAGAGAGAGAGAGAGAGAGAGAGAAAGAGAGAGAGAGAGGAAGACAGCAGGGGTGGTATCTGGCACAAAAACATAAAAAAGATCCTCCTCATGCAGGCTTAAATTAACACTAGCTGTTCAGAGCAGGGCTGTTTATTACTGTAGGCTATAACAGTGCTACTGAAAGGACAAGAAAGGGTGGGAGACAGAATAGGCTGGACACTGAAGGGGAGGCGGAGGGGGAAGGAGGGTGCAGGACACGAGCAGAGTCATCAGCAGAGTCCATTTTATCGTTCGGTTACTGCCCGACATTTCTCCTCTCCTTATTCGCACGCAGGACCGCTGCTGGTGCTGCAGTTTGCAGCAAGGCAAGATTGGCCTAGTAATGGCACATGGCGGGCGCACTGCGGTAAATATTACAGGATTTCACAGCACAGTTCACTGTTGCAATCATGGCAAGGCAGTCGCACCCAGGTGCTTATCTGGCTTTGATTGCGTGCCAAAACAGTCAATGTAGCTTTTCAACTCATTACCGTGTCTGCGGTCAAGAGGCAGAAGCAGTAATCAAGACAATATTCGTCAGTGATCATGCCAAACTTTCTTTATCGGGCCTTTTTTACGGGACCCACTGTTGCTTGTAGGTCAAATGTGTGGGATCAAACTCCCAGCAGCCACAGCTCTGAAATAAAGAGATGAATCGTTACATGAATCTCAAAGTGAGGTGTTGCAAGTTGTCCCACAATCCTTTAATCATTCGTGAGTATGTGTGTGTTTGCTGTGACTCTCCTCCTCAGGAGAAGTGCACTGTGCCCCGCCACCCCCACACCCACCCACCCACAACTCCCTCCCCACCCCACCTCATGCACACGCACGTCGCGCTGGGTCGGTGATGAAAACGCGTAGTGCGCACGCACTCCCACACGTCCCTGTTTCATCATCAGCTGAGCCCTTTCTCCTCCACTCACAGCTCTTCTTCCCTCCCTCTCTCGCCCCCTCCCCTCTCTGCTCTTGCTTCTTTTTCTATCCATCGCTCTCCTCCTCCTCTCTCCCTGGGTCCCGGCCACATGCGAGAGGGTAGACTAGGACGCTGCAGCTCTGAAAAAAAAAAGAGGGGAAAAACGCTCTGCTGCTATTTCTACAGGCGGGCCCTCCCCTTTAGCTAGTCTGTGCCAAAAGAGGGAGGGATTTTTTACTACTCCCAGTCCCAGGATTTTAACCCTCTGCCTGCTCTCGCTTCTCTCTGCAAGATCTGCTCCTCAATATCATGCAACAAGTGGCTTTGCTTTACTCCTGGTTCGACATTGCTGCGCCATTTGCGAAGACATTTTTCGGGACCCCAGTTTTCTTCACTTCACGGGCGTTGATCACCTGCATTTGGTCAGTTTTTTGCTTCTTCTGGGTTGTTGTCAGTAGAGTTAAACTGGACTGAGAATCAGTGGTTTTGGTTTGTGCCCTGCCGTGGTGCGAAGGCTTTTTGAGCACGTGTTTCTTGATTGCTCGCCATGCTTCCTTTTTCTTGTGAGTCCTCCCAGAAGCTGAGGACGAAGACAGCAGTTTGTTTTCAGCATGCTGTTCGAGCAGCTGCTTGATTTCATGTTACCTGTGAATGTATCTCGATTTCAACAGATGATTTCTCATGTATTTTCCTGTTCTCTTATCTTCTTTGCCCTCCACCTTCCTCACCCTTTCCATCTCTAAACCTCTCCCTCTTTTGGGTTTTCTGCCCCACCCTCTCTTCCTCACGCCCCCCCACCCCCCTCTCTCTTTCTTTCTTCCTCTCTCTCTCTCTCTCTCTCTCTCTCTCTCTCTCTCCCTCTCTCTCGTGGGCAGTCTCCAGTGAAAGGGGAGCAGGAGGGCGGAGCAGCAACGGGGCTTTTTCTGGGACAGGTGCCAATTTCAAACAAAAGACACAAAAAGCCAAAAAAGAGTGAGATAGTTCCCAATGACAGGGAAAAAGTGGCATGTTTCAAGAACTGATTTGTAGTAATTACATGTGTGTGCATGTGTAACTATTCTCCTCTTGCAGGACTTTTTTTTTTTACTGCATGACTGAGTAGCAGCCGAGATCTTGAATCCTCTCTTTCCCCCCCTCTCTGCTGTCTTGCTCCCGTGAAGGCATTTGAGTTTCGAGCGGGGAAAAGAAGGAGGGGTGGGTGGAGTTGGGAAGGGGCAGTGGGAGGCGGAGCCTTGCCTCCTCTCCTCCCTGTCGAGTCTTCTGCATTATTCATATGCCTGGGCCAGTGCTGCGATCTGACTGGCTGCCTGGCTTAGCATTCACCCGACATTCAGCGGCTCTGTTTGCTAACATTCCTCATTCAAAGCCTTGTTAACTGCCAGACGGGAGGAACACGCGACTCCATGGGAAACCCACATGGCCTCCCCATTGTGGCGGGCCCTGACAGTCTCAGACTAGGAGGTGGCAGACAGGGGAGAGCGAGGGGAGCCAGTTTGTAAATATTAGAAAGCAGTTAGCTGAGGTTAGGCAGGTTACCCAAGGCTTAGAGACGGGTTTGGGGGGAGGTGGCCAGATTGACAGGGTAAAACCCAGACAGAGGGGCAGACAGATGGGCAGACAGACATATAGACAAGGCGTTGAGGCAGACAGGGAGGCTGGCACTTGCTGGGACTCTGAATGGGTCTCTCGTTGGCGTGCCCGCCTACTCCTTGCAGGGAGTGCAGAGCTGTGTGACTGATTCCAAGCTCCTTCTCTGCCCTTCTCTACAGAGAGGATATGTGGACATACTGTGTGCAGCTACCGGAGGATCCAGCACAATGAAACGGCGGAGATTTCGGCGCTTTACCCCGGATAGCTGATGGCTGTGGTGTGTGTGCCAGCTGCCTCAAAGACTCAGTGGGTAAGTCAAAGAGTCTGTGTGGGTGTGGAGGTAAGTGTGTGTGTGCATGTACGCCTATGTGTGTGAAGCATGCACACATGCAGAGATATTCTTTTGACAAAACGATGAAACACAGAGACGAAACAGACACTGGAGAGCGGCTACGTTTGACCCGATCTCCATGTTGGTGTGTTTCAACGTTGTGTCTGGGTGTTGTTTCCTTCAGGGCTACATGACTATCCAGAGAGAGGAGGCTTAACTAAATATAGTCGAACCAGGGGGGAAACGTGGCATGGGCTTTGAATTTCAGACGAAACCGAGCTAATCTGTCCTCTGGTGCGTTCCTACCTGCAGTTTTGCACTCCAGGTCGGCCTTTTGTGTGTGTGAAAGAGAGACGGTTTTGGAGGGAGCTGAGAGGGACCAGTGCTGTAATGTTGGGCCGAGGGCCAGACAAGGCCTGCTACACAAGGCCGAGCCCCACCACAACGCTCCCCCTCTCTCTCTCTCTCTCTCCCTCTCTCTCTCTCTCTCTGTCTCTCTCTGTGTCTCCCTCTCTCCTTTTCTCTCCAGGTCAGCTATCAGAAAACAATTAATCGCGATTCTCATACTGAGTTTTCTCATTAAAACCCCATCAAGTGAATATGTGCGAGGTTTAGGAATTGTAATAGAAGGTAAAACATTGGAAAATGGGTCAATGCTGACACGTGGCCACTCGTAGCTTTAATATAGCTCAAACAGGCCTTTCGGACGTTAGGTGTATTATGCTTTACTAACATGGCTCAACTATAAAGCGCATTCTCATTTTTAAAATTTTATTTAACATGCATAAACAAGAAAAATGCTTCAAGGCATTCAACTGTAGACATTTCTCTCCTCAGTTCGACTGTACGGTTTTAAAACTGAATTAAATTCAAAGTAATGTCAGCTTGCTACACAGAATTTGGGTTATGTATTTCAACCCGAAATAGAGCGGTATGCTTTTTTAATGAATTTTTAAAAAGTTATACATTCATTAACTTTAGTATCACAACTGCTTTATCCTCGAGGAAGAACATCAGCTCTAATTTTGACCGAATTATATCATATTTTCCACATAATTAAAAAACTCAATATGCCACACCCCTCATCAATGCCATGCAGCATGGCAGCTTTTAATTATCGCCTATAAATCAATTTTTCAAACAAGTGCTAATTGAAAATCGTCCTTTTTTTCCCCCTATATTGCCTCTCGATGTGGCTTCATGTTGAACACCTCAGCACATCAGAGTCGACCATGACCGATAGGTAGGAGTGGAGGCAGTGTGAGTCATCACAGATAGCTCTAGTCATCCCACCTACGTCCTACGTTTGACAGGCCTATTCATCCGCCACTCTCGCACCACCGGGCCTGGCGCGAGCTCCGCCATTACTGTCACCCCTGACGTCGCTTCCCTCGTTTGCTGTATCCGAAAAACCTCTTCTGAGACCCTCAGCCAGGTGAAATTATGAATTAATACGTCAGAATTCGGAGAAGGAACACGTCATTGCTGGACACCAGTCAGTTCAAGGTGCAGCATTAAAAACTGCAGCAGAGTCAGATGGATTAGGTTGATTTAGATTTTTCTCAGTTTTCTTTTCTATTTTCTTTCCTTTCTACTTCAATTAGTCTGAATCTGTTGAACACATACTGTAGAGATAATATTAGCTCATATAGGTAATATTTTTGGCCGGTTGCGCTGCTATTCGCAATCAAACGGCCCTAATGGAAACGAGGAGAAAGGTGCTCTGATCCGCTTTTCCTCCGAAATGGCGGATCGTCACGATAACTTTTGAAAAACGTCGGGAATATTTTCTCCCTAACGTGGTCATGTTTTAAAGTGTCCTCTGCACACTTAGGTTCTCTGATTTGTCAGACGTATTTATGACATGAATTACAAAAGTCATAGAGTGTATTTCCACAAAATATCGGCCGTCCCAGAGAGAATATTTTGTACCGAGAAAACCATAAAAACAAACCCGCTTAGATCTTGGAATTCATAAAAAACAACATATTTTCACACAAAACTTGCAGCAAGTTGCAGTTTGCTGTGAGATTTTATACAATACTCTGATTTCCTATGCTTTAAAAAAAGTTTGACTTTTATGTTGTAAAGGACAGATCACTGAGTAGTCATACATAGCTTTTGTAAAGAGAAGAAAATGAAAAACAATCACAGATTTGGCCTGAACATCTACTCTGTGTGTCTGGTTTATAAAATAATTCTAATGTGAATATTACAAAACCTAAAAATGGGGGAAATGTGAAAAACTGAGCATAAAGACCATCACACTACATCTTGAACCAGACACACAGGACACATGCACGCACAAACGCACACTCTCGCACAAACACACACACATGCACACAGGCAAACACCCAGACACATTTGATGCTATGTACCCCACAATGAACCCTGGCTCCTAAGATGAATGGGGTTCCCACGCCTCTCCCAAGGAGTGCAGGGCACAGCCTCCTCCTCTGAGTATTCACACACACACACACACACACACACACAATGCATGCACTACAGATGGCCACACAGTCTTACTCAAACACAGGTGCATTTGAGAGTAATACAGAGGCATCCACTTGCAGTGAAAAGGTACAAGGGCACATTTTAAAAAGCACACACAGACATACTTTTAAGTATTGATTATTATTCAGAGCACTTGCAGCCATGTCAGTTTTAAAGATGGAGTTACACAGAGTTATCTTTATTCCCAGCACTTTGGCAATTTGGCATAAAAAGCGACTTTTAATTTGTTAAGCAGCAAACCAGATGGGAAATGAGCATGAGACTTATTAGGAGTGTTTTACTTTCAGTTACAGTTCAGCTACACCTCTTTTTGTTTCACTGTGTGTGCGTGTGTGTGTGTGTGTGTGTGCCTGTGTGAGAATGTGTGTCAGTCATAAGGTTTTGTTTTGCAGGGAGAATTTAAATGAAGCAGAAACAAAAGTTCGTGGGAAAATCTAACATTTCATTTTCTAAGGGTTCAGCAACACAAAGTCCTTCAGTGTGTGTGTGTGTGTGTGTGTGTGTGGTTTACAAGTGAATATATATATACGCTGCTTGTATTCAAATGCTACAGTTTGATTGTTAAATTAAAAAGGGATATATTTTAATATTTATTTGTGTCATATTTTCTCGAATACATCACTGTGTTTTTCAGTGATCATGTTAGAATATTGAATTTTTTTTCTCGTGGAAAAATAGATCCATAATTTATTGTTACAATATACACAATATATTTTTATTGAATTAAATTTCTTTAATTACTTAATTATGGAAGACAATACTTTTTCTAAAATTACTTTTGCCTTGACCGCATTGTGTGTGTGTGTGTGTGTGTGTGTGTGTGTGTGTGTGTGTGTGTGTGAGTGAGTGAGAGAGAGAGAGAGAGAGAGAGAGAGAGGTGCAGAGAGAGAAGGTGATACCTGTAATATTTATTTATATAATATATTTGAAATTTTTGTCTCTAAAAACTAATTGAAAATCAAGATTTTTATCTGTAGCTTAATTTGAAACGTGTTTATATTTAAATGTTAAATTGCCTCCTTTTATATTTTTTATGTTTTGACCACTTTCTAATTTCATCATTTTATTTTTAGAAACTGAAATTTGACTACAAAAAAGAAACTGATAATTGCAGAAAATTAAAATGACTGTCGAACAAAAAGCCACAACTTAATTTGCAATTCCAATATCACACAGTAATATAATTCCCACTGGTAATTTTTTGAAGCTTATTCTTTCCTGAGAGATGTATCTCAGCTTCTTCCACACTGGCCAGTATATGGTAATACAGTTATCCAGGCTAAATTCAGCTGCAGTCTTCTCAGCCATGATCATTCTAACATATGTTACATCAGCCTTAATGATACACTCAAGTAGCTGCTTGGCAGGTTTATGACCTGAGGGCTACATGGACACCTTAGTGTGTGTGTGTGTGTGTGTGTGTGTGTGTGTGTGTTTTGTGAATATATCTGCACAGTATTGTGTGTGTGTGTGTGTGTGTGTGTGTGTGTGTGTGTGTGTGTGTGTCGATGTGGATGTGTGTAAGGATAACTATATTTACGTCTCTGTTTTTCTCTTTAATTTTCAGGCTCATTATTTGGGAATGACTTTTATATTTCCTGGTCAGACGTCAATATCAAGGTTGGTTTAACAATTTATTCATTTTCTATATTTTTGAATTTATTTTTATTTCATTTAGGTATCTATTTACTTCACACTCAGTGATGTCTTTTTTAAGTGTGTGTGTTTGTGTGTGTGTATGTGTGTGTGAGTGCCACCACACTACAGAATTCTCAAAGTCAGAAATCACCTCGGTCTGGTCCGTAGCAGAGAATATGCATCATCTTCCTCTGTCACTGGCCCGTAGTCACACGACACGATTAACACAGTTATTCGTTATTTTATCGAACCCCAACCCGGCTCACATTGTTCCCGACACACAGCAGCGACGGTGGCAGCGAGTGACATGTCCCATCAAAACCGGCTGCAGTGCGTTGTGTGTGTCATGTCATCTGAATCAGTAAGCGTCTGCCGCAGCTCAAAGATAATCTCCTCAAAGGAAATTAGTCAAGAAAAAGGGGAAAGAAAAGCCGTCAGCCTAAAGGTCAAATGAAGATTAGAGGGAAACAGTACACGAGGGCACACCGGCTGGCACCCGGAACTGCACAAAGGCCTCATTGTCACGGCTCTGCACACTCTCCTTGCGTACTTGGGGAGACATGACACCTGTTGGTGGTTTTGGTCAACTGCAGGCTGAGTGACAGGACGCCTTCACAGGTCGAGTGGTGGTCCTCAGATTTTGGGTTTATGACGTTTTTTTTTTTTTTCGCTCCGTGCACACTAAAATAAGACGATGTTCCAAGGCACAAGAACGTCTTGAATTATTTTGGATACAGCCCGGATCAGCAAATGGTCAATCATCAAATAGAGTCACAGGTTTGATTCAGGGTCACAAGTTTTATCTGTCCTGCGTTTTACCCGTAGTCTGCCACGACGTAAAAGTTATACCGTCAAAGGTTGAAACACTGAACAGTGGAAAAAAAGATATAACTTTTGATTTATTCTCACTGATTTTACAGTTTTATTTCAATTCTTCAGACACACGGGTTCTGCGTACTTCAAAGAGTGCAGTGGTTAATCTCAAATAATTGTAAGGATCATTCTTGACAGTTTAACACAGTTTTACGGTTTATGGCGCCATGTGTCCAAAACACGGGGCTGAATGTTCTTTTGGAAAGTTGTATGAGAGCACGTGGCTTCAGGGTGTTCCTCACTTACACCTCTCATTAGTTAATAATATAATTTGTATTTTTTTACAGCCTGGACACAGGTGTTCATTTGTGTTGTGTGACTGTGATAACACCCTTTGGACACATTTTATTTATTTTAATATGGTTATTAAATAATCATTTAAAAAGTTACTGCTGTAAATATACAGGACGAATTTAATTGCACAGCAGTCATTAAAAGTATGAATTTAACACTCGCACCAAAGGCATTGTTAAAGGGTCAGTGCATTAAAATTACAAAAAACGTATTTCCTCACAAATCTCCGGTAGTTTGTAGCCATGCAGAGAGTTTTGGTTTAATGTGTCCATGTTTCGACACATCTGCCGCTGTCTCTGCTCTAATACAACAGACGTGAATGAGATTGTATTGATGATGAATCCAAAATTACATTAAAACTGCTGTAACATCTCCTTCCCGAAACAGTGTCCTTGTTGCTTTGCATGATTGGCGAAATGAGCAGTTGTCAGTTTTACAGTGAGGTGTGTTGACGACCCAGAGGAGATGCCGAATTTTGAACACGTCATTTTTCAGTGGTGTGAGCACCACCAACACCACCCGGTCACCTCCAGTGTGTTGGAGGGGACGAAGAAATCTCAGGTGTATCATTCAAAGCCTGGGCACATTAAACTAAAGCTAGATACCGCTTGGTCATAAAATGTGTTTTGTTTTGCAATTTGCCTTAAGTGACCCTTTAAGTAAAAGGTCTTCTCCTGTGTGAACCTGATACCTTGCCGTGCACACATTAGCAGTGTAAGTGGAGCAGTGAGATGCAGTCAGGCCTGCTGTATACCTCACAGGCTTGGACATTAAGTAGCTCGTGTAGAGATTTGTGTGGCATTTATGGGATAACCGACCTGCAATAAAAACAGCCGCAAACCGGTGTGTGCGTGCGTGCGTGCGTGTGAGGAGTTCAGGCAGTGACTCACTTTTATAAGTTCGACCCCACCTCACTCCCTCGTGTCTCCCCCGTCGCTCCCCAGCTCGAGGGGAAACCACAGCAGAGCCGCAGCCTCTCCCGTCTCACTCAGGAAACTCCCTCAAACAACCACAACCTGTCTGCTTGACCTTTCAGCCAAACACACACAGACATACAAATTTATGCTCATTTGCACCAAGATTTCCTGACATACACAAATAGGCTACAGATGAGGCACAACAGATAGCTTCAGGGGATTTATCCGACTAATTTAAAGTTAATGTTAGTTAGTGTTTGTTTACCTAAGAGGTGTTACCTAAACTCCTAGGTAACAACGCAGACTGCCAAACAGGATCCTCATAAATAACACAGAGAGACACTCTCACTCTCTGTGTCCTCACGCATGCAAGCACCTGCATCGGTTTGCACACACACACGCGCGTAGGCACAGATAGCGCTTTCTGTGTGCTGCATGTGTGAGCGTGCAGACTCATATGCACAGTGGAGCGCTGTTTTTGTGTGAGGCTCACGTGTAAGACAAGAGGTGAAAGTCTGACCTTTTGACACCCAACCGCAGCTCACTCTCTCCTCTCATTTGTCTCGATCAGGAAGAGGAAACCTGAGAGGAGGCGAGCTGACAGACCTGAAGCCGCTGCTGCAGAGAGGAGGTGACCTGTCAAGCACAAGTGACACACAGGAAGTATTTTGACGGCATACTTCGTTCTGCAACAATTAAAGCATGAAGAAATAATACGTCACTCAGCACTACTCTAACATCAAATTCTACATTAAAAGAGTATTGATAACAAACGGATGAATTTCATAAATACAATGAACCCTACTCAGCAAAAGAAAGATTATTCGATAAGATGATTAAGTTTTTTGTGTCTTAATTGGCTTTTACAACAGTTGAAAGTCAAAAAGAAATGTTTTACATTGAAATGTAGCAACGTAATTCAACCATATCTCCCGACCAAGCATATCTGTTTTATATGGTCATGGTGTCATAGCTTAAAAGATAATTAGGTTGCTGTGGCTTTTGATAGAATATAGATTTATACATTTCTTCACTTGCTTTATGAATGAAATATCTACTCACAGTATATAGAATGCATTAATACCAATAATACAAAAATGATATATGAGCATGGAAGTTCAGGCTGTGTGTGTAAGACAAAATCATCTCAATTCAAAGGTCCACTTACTCACTTTTTCTGACTTTTTAACTGTTTCTTATGGCCTTGATTAGTGAATATATATTTAATTTTTCAGTGCCCAGAAAACAGTAGGTGTCAGTATTGTTTTCTGACATCAGTGTTAGAATTACACACATCATATATAATAACTCATTTATAAACACACACTTTGCATTTGAGATTTTGTTTGCTGTGTCTTTCCCTGGTTTGTGGCGTTGGGCTGCCGTTCCCCACAGGTCGACCGTCGACCAGAGACCCCTGCAGGAGATAAACTGTCCTTTGGGGTGAGGTAGTAGGTTGTATAGTTTTAGGGTCATTCCCAAGCTGTCAGATGACTATACAACTTACTGTCTTTCCTGAAGCGACTGTGCTGACATCACAATCGCCACTGTCACGAAGGAGAATGTGACTTCACTGCAAATGTTTATTTTCCCCTTTTAAATGTGGACTTGTCTCCTACTCAAACAATGCACTCCTTTCATAGAATCAGTGAGGAGCAATACAACCTTGTGATTTGTTTTATTAAAGTTAGACAGAGAGGAGGCGATACTGAGGAGAGGCTGGTAAGTTAGAGAGAAATGATAGAAATCATCTTTTCAGACAAATTAGATGTTGATGTTTAAAAAATAAATGCTGCAACAAGATTTTTCTTGCATGGACATTGAGTAGGTTATCCATTTCAATTACCTGATGTTCATTAGTGTGTATTTCTGAAATACAGACATTTTTTTGAATTTTAAACAGAACTTTTGAGCCTTTTAAGCCACTAAAATGTAAATTTAGGAGTCTCTTACTGCAGTTATGCTTATTATAATTCCAAATGCCTCAACATGCCTCCATTAGCTAATATTTGAATACTGGTTTTAACTCTTAATGTTGTCATCTAAAACCTTGGTGTGTCCTCTGTGATAACAACACGGCAGCTCTGTCTTCATTTACACAGTGATCACACGTGACCTCCTCACAAACCCTCACATCCCGATCCTCCTCCCTACCCACCTGGGTGACTTATGGTGTTCGTACAGGGTGAGGTAGTAGGTTGTGTGGTTTCAGGGTTGTGATTTTACCCCATCAGGAGCTAACTATACAACCTACTGCCTTCCCTGGAGGGCAGCAATACATCACAGGAGCACACGTGGCCTTGTTACCATTCTGCTTAGGAGAAAACTGACATCTCATGACTCTTGTTTATTAAGCTCAACAGAGGACTGGCATTTAATTTGAAAGGTTTCATTGAGGCGGTGAGTAGTGTTGGATCACTACATGCACTAGTCACTCAACAGTTACAGATCATTCATGTTTTAACATGTACTTTTTCAACAATAAAGACTTTATAAGAAATAATTACAGCATTAACCAATGACTGGAGTCTGATTTTTCCAGTGTTCTGAAGTGCAGAGGTGCAACAGTAAAGTCTTAGTTGTCGGAATATTTTCGTAGAAACGTTGCCTTATTCTGTAATCCTTTTAAGGAGCTCATTATATGTTGAAATACTAATCTTATAAGCCTCTGTGGCTTAGGAACACATAGACATGTATCTGTCTGTCTGGAAGAATGCTCCAAAGTATGTGTTCATCATGTGTCTTTGTACTTTAAAACAAAGGCAATTATTTGAGATTTTTCCATGTAAGCTGTTAATAACATCCTGGATCAAAGGAAGAGAAAACTGTAGAAAACAATCTGAAGGTAGAAAATTCAAAGTAAACAACCAAAAAAGAGTCAAACGGTGACAACGGTCACACATTCTCAGTACTTTGAGATTTTGTTTAGTCATAGGTTTTGAGTTTTCCAGTTTGATCCTAAACTTCACCAGAGCTGATAACTGCGACTTAAATAAGCTGCAGAGTGCAGAAAGCTGTCTCTAATTCAGAAAACACGAGCGTGCGTGTTTCTCTCACAGATGGAGCAGGAGAGCAGGTGCTGAGGTATCAGCCACAAAATCATACATTATCACCCTCCCACTTGTCTGTGCGAGAACACACTGCGCACCTTCAGATGTGCTGTGGAAGTCAACGAGCAAAGATGATGGACAAAATACCCCACAGTGTCACTCACCTTAGGACAGACACACTGAAAGAATCTTATGCATCCATACACAGTAGATGGCGCCAGATATTACATGTTGTGTTGATTGGCGCTTTACGTATATTACTAGATCTATTTTATAGCAGGTTATAAGGTTATGGAGATTATTGGCACAGATACCAACAACCACCTGCAGACAGAAAGGGAGTGTACACTCTACAAACTAAAAGTGCACACAAAAGGAAGTGGTTAATATACAGTACGGTATGGTATAATTGGAAAATAAATGTTGCTTTAGGTGAGGTGTGTGTTTCAGTTTGATGTCTTTAAAATCTAGAGCAATCAACAAAAGAAGTATGTCCTTGTTAGGCACACCAAAGTGCACAGTGCTTTAGTAGCAAATGCCATTATACTGACTGACCTGAGTAAATCTTTAACAATAATGACCGAAAAAGATGTAAAGAGAAAGAAATGAGTCAGAGAAGCATTTTTAAACATGGATAAAGGAAGAACTGGCTGCAAGTAAATCATCTGGAAGAAGCCCACTGTTTATGGCCTATGGGGCAGAAAATTCCTCTTACAGTTTTTCTTGTATGCATCAACAAACTCATTATTGCTGGAGACAATCAAAGACAGAAGAGACTAAAGTTTTGTTTCTTTATGTTATATATTATAAAGTCAAACATCATCTACAGCCAACTGAACAAACTCATACCGCTCAACCAGCTCTTTCAATAGTCTGTTTACAGGTCTCTCACTGTCAGTGTTCACCTTCCTGGTATGTCTGGTATGCCTTCTCTAAGAGGTCAAAGCAGGACTGGACAACATCTCACCTCAACCAGTCGACGCCTTAGCTCACTCTCATACATACAGAATACAATGGCCCCATTTCAGTTTTACACAGGTATTTAAAAGTGGGTGCTTTTATTTGGCTCAACCATATGACAAATATGACAGAGAGATATACACTGTTATATATATTCATACTGTACATGTAGCAATAGCAATACTGTCACTAAATAAGAGTATGAAGTATTATTGGCAAATCTGTGAGTGCAATACTATTATATATTAGATCTTTTTAAATGATAGCAATGTTTCATATTTGATAAGATCATCATGTTTTGTAATTAAATCTTGATGTCTAAAGAAATCAAATCAATGTAGTAGTTTAAAAAAATATAGAATATTAGTAGTATAAAGTAACAAGTACTTAAAAATGATAGGTAAATGTACTTTGTTGCATTTCACCACTGAAAGCAAGAAACACTTGGTTCACAGCGAGGTACCTGTTCATCAGGCAGCCGGTCGTTTGGTATTTCATTGTGAATAACGGTGGTTTCATTGAGGATTTACGTAAATTAATAACCTGTTATATGTGATGAGGTTGAGCTTTAATTACACAGTAATTTACCGTGGCTCCTTTGTAAACGCTTTCGGAGACGATCGGCTGACATTTCTTTTACAGCTGCTTGGAGACAGAGCCAATCAATGCTGAGTTTTATTGACATCCCTGCTGCCTGTGACTGGAGGCACATAAAGGAAACACATCCACATCCACACACCCGAGCGACCGATCGACCCGTGAGCCACCGGGAAGCGACTGTATCCTGCCCCCCCCCCCCCCCCCCCCCACACACACACACACACGCACACACACACACACACACACACACTCGCACACACACACACACACACACACACTCGCACACACACACACACACACACACACACACAAGCTAAAATTAAAAAAAAAAAAAAAGCGAGGCGGTCTGCTCTCAGGCTTCCAGATCCCCGCACGTCCATTGGCTAAAACCATAGGTGTGCCGGGAGGTGTGTTCGCCGTGTCGCCGTCCGTCGCTACGTTATTTCCTGCTGAGAATGAGCGGAGGTTTGACACCGCGCAGCGAGGCGACGCGTCAAGTTTACAGCGGAGCAGATCTAGACCTCGCTCTCTCTCTCTCTCTCTCTATCCCCCCCCCCCCCCTCCCTCTCTGTATGTGTGTCTGTACGCGTTTATGAGTGTTTATGTTTATGTTGTGTTGTTGCGCGTCGGAGGATCCCGGGACCCAAACAGCTGATTCAGACAGGCGTCCATCCCGGTAACAGCCTCTGGAAATGCTTCGGATACTTGTCTCTGAGGTAATGAACAAGCTTTATTTCCAAACCAGCCCGTTGTGTAATGTGATTATAAACTTGAGGAGGATTTCCACGCTGCTGCCTGTTGTCTGCTGGAATTTCAACAAACTTGTATTGTTAACCAGCGCAAACATAAGGCTTTCTACACTGTCACATACTGTAGCTGCTGACTTGTTCTTATTGTTGGGCAATTTCTGTGACTGTCTTACTGTAAGTTGCGAGTGAGCCCACTTAACCTTAACGACTAATACTTGTCTTTTTTGTAAAACACCACTCACACCCACAGTGTCATTCTGATCAGAGGAACATTTTTTTCTTCAGCATGTTTCCATCTCTTTGCCTGTGTAACAGCAGTGTAGAAGAGGAAATAACGTCAGATCACTGAACATGACATTAATTACGTGATTGCAGAACTTTTTTCCATCAGAATGTGGAAGCTGGTTGCAGGGTTTCCTCTGTACCTGATTGCTGTTTGTCTGTGTTGTACATGGATGATCTTGTTGCAAAAGGAGGAAAGATCTTGGAAAAGGTCACAACAGCTGATCCTGAATCAGCACAGAACACTGACGCATAGGAGACAGACCTACTCTTCCCTTAACTCACATGTGCTTAGTGTTGGACCTGAAATAAGAAGAGCGCCTGTTGGTGTCAATCTGACCTGAAGTAGCCTAAAATATTTTGTGTTTTCATTTTGCACTGGTCTGGGGTCAGGTGTATCCTCACTGATTTGGTTAAGTACAGCTAACGTCCCTCAATATTTCCTCTTCCGCTGTGACCTAAAGATAGAGCCCTCTGTCTGGGATTACAGTTCCTCTGGGATTTTCAACACAATGTCCTTTTGAGGTTAGGTGGAGACATTGGCTGGGCCTGGGTCATCTATGAAAGAGGAAGTAAAGTCATATCAAGCCCAGTTAAGAGTCAGTTGTTGACCCAGTTGAAATATATCAACACAGACCCAGTATGGATGAAATAGGCTCAAATTACAGATCAGCTGGCGTCAGTTTCGACTGATTATCTTCTTGATTAATCTATTAATATATATTGGTCAATAACAGTGAAAAAAATTGAAAAGTCAATTTTTCTGCTTTGTCCAACACCCCCCCCCACCCCCACCCCCCACTCAATTTACCATTAACATAGGACCACGGAAAAGCAAGTCATTTGTCACATTTGACCACATGGAACCACCAAATGTTTTGGCATTTCTGCTTGAAAAAAGTTACATAAACTAATCAGTGGATACAGCTAATCATTACTGCTCTAGATTCTTTCACGCCAGAGTGCAGTTCTGGACACAACGACATTCAGATCAATACTGTAAGATCATGGAAACCAGATCTGGGGATAGTTAGGCCTGTGTTGTGATGGGATCCTTACGTATTTTGGATTACAACTCGGGCACAGTGTAAATTCATTGTCAGGTAAAGAGGAATGATAAAATGAAAGCAGACATATAGGTAAATGATGCCATATGAGCTTCATAACAGCTACAGTGCTGCATTCTCAAACGGTGTCGTTTTTAGGACAAGATCTCAGGCATGTTTAAAAGACATCCTCGGCCGTAGCTGCGGGGCGAAACATGGGTTCAGGGCGTGACTAAAAGTTTGTGAACCCACTGAACTCAGGTTTAAATGCTGTTTATTGTGTTGCAAGGAGCAACAGATTTACTCAATCTACCCTTTGATGGAGAAATCTTCTCCAACTGCCAGGGGGGGCATCAGTTTGTCAGAGGGCAGATGTTGTGCGTCAAAGCAACTCGACAGACCAGTTAGTCAGCAGCCGCCTCTACTCCGCGCTCCGTCGGTCCCACCATCTCTGCCTGTGCTTTGTCTGAGAAACCTTCAGTAAACAAGAACCGAAAGAAGCCACGCACTGTAAACACTCCATATGGCACCGCGCACAGTAGGATATAGCAGAACACACACACTCACATATTTCCCCCTTTACGCAACTTTGCTTTACTGTCAGGACCTGTCCCCTGAAATGCTGCAACACGAAGACTAGATAAACAGGACGCTTTGATCAATCACTGTCCTCACTGTGTTGACAGAGTGCATGTTTTTTTTATCAGACTGATAAAGGCAGCACTTTACCTAATTATCATGTTCAATCATTAGCTTAAAAAGCACACTTAGAGGCTAAAAGGTCCATGGAAATGAAAGTTAAAGTTGCGCAACCTCTTGTTAGCTAATGCTTCTTCCATGCTCGGCTTACAGATGTATGCAGCTGTGTAAACTGGGATTTTTACATAGGGGCTCGTATGAGCTCTGAGATTGGGCCCCACAGCCAAGTCTCTCTGTATATTAGATCAGAGATGTGCTTGTGATTCCTGCTCAGATGATCAAATAACCTTTTTATGTTATAACACAGATAAAATTATATTGCAGTAATGTAGAAGCAAAAGGAACAATGTTTTAGGAGGATTGGAAGGAGAGAATTCCCATCGCTTATAAATGCAGCTTCCTGTGTCCCTGTCTTTTACACCACATTTTTTTCTTCCTGAACGCATCGTTACTTGTGCGTAGAAACGTCACAGCCTGAATACGTTTTGTAAAGTTCTGACCTGCCGAGCAAATCAGTGTACGAGCCTGTACAGAACGACAACGGTGACGCCCGCCGCTGTGAGTTACTGCGAGTTGGAGAGAGAGGGTTATAGAACATGAGCGCTGGACATGGTGCTGTGTTGTTGTGGGATGGCTCAAACAGATGTCCTTTACCCCGCTGGGAGCAGCTGGGAGCTCCACCAAAACCCCCTCCCACACATACTTTAAGCCCAAACCAAACACCTTCACATTATGAACTGAGCAGCCTCTCCTCTGGCGTTAACAGCCTATAAGTTGTACCTGTCCCCGCTGCAGCGGAGTGGCTTTGTTCTCTCGTGACATGTCGGCTTCGTTCGTGTTTTACCCTGGAACACGATAAACCTGCAGCCAGATTCATTTGTAAAATCACATGCTTTCTCAGGGATGAATATCTGAGCTACCGGGTCACCAGGTGCTGCTGCTCTTGAAGAAAAAGGGGGTGAAATCTTTGAACATGTGCAAAATATATATATCAGTATTGTCTACAAAGATCCTATATGCCCAGAGATGATAATGAGATTGCTACCACAGTATAAATAAATGGTTACAGTATATTAAATATAAATCATTAAAATCATCAAAACTAAAATCTGGATCTCTTCTTCCAGTCTGGCGAGTGAGGGGTTTTTCCTCCCGGGTTCAGCTTGATCTCCACCATGGCAGGGGACCTCTACAGCCCCCCATCCCCACTGGGGGACTCCCTTCTGGACAGTCCCCTGTGCGGAGACCTGATGGACGACCTTTGTGACATCTCCCAGTCTATAGGAGAAGACACACTCAGATTTGATTTCCCAGAGTACCAGAGCACCTGCTCAGGGTCGGAGAGCTCCATTTCACTGGGTGAGTAGTCAGGTGACCTCAACTAAAACCCCTTCATCTTCACAACCGAATTATTGAATTAATATTTAGGGGCTCAGCTGCAAATAAAGCAGTGAAGTGTGTTTGGTGATGATGCCAAATATGAAGCGCCCTCAGTGAACGCTCACTAATTATCTTGCAAATGAACAACCAGAAGCTGCTTTTAAAATTGTACCGAACACGCCGGATCTTTATCTCAGAACGGGTAATGTGGATCATTACGACAGTGACCCTTTGACCTTTTGGCTCCAGTGTCATGTATGATTATTCACTAAAGAGGCTAATGTATAGCACTGCGTGTCTGATAACACAGGATGAGACATCTCCTCCGAGATCCTGTCTGCACATTCCCGAGCAGCAAATGATCCACGTCTTCGATAATTTTAGGGAGACAAATCATCCAAAATGCTTTAGGTCTGCAGGAGACACTTAACTAATCTACTCAGGTGGACAAAAGGAGAGGCCTGTTTGTCAGGACTTGTTGTGCAATACCAGTTGGAGATGCACCTTAATTCCACATTTCTCAGGAATACATGTAACATTTTTCCCACAATTGTTCTCAATTTGGAAAAAAAGATCTTTGTTCAAAGCGTGGCCCAGTGAAATCACTGTTTCCTCTCTGCTGTAGACACCTTGACCCCAGCCTCCAGTCCGTTGTCGGGGGTGTGTGGCACTGCAGCAGGCCCCGAGGAGAGCCTTCATCTGGAGTGCCGGGTGTGTTCGGACAAGGCTTCAGGCTTCCACTACGGGGTGCACGCGTGCGAGGGCTGCAAGGTGAGAAATGCGGACACAGCGCAGCCAGCAGGAGTACGTATGGTATGCATGTACTGACATACTGTACGTATCAAAGTGAGAAAGAGCATGCAAAGATATAAATATAAACATAAAGACAGATTCAATCCCATGCGACCTAATGATCACTTGTGTTTTTGTTTTGTTTTTTTTTTTTTACCTCTGATCCAGTTGCACAGCCACATGTAGAAGCACCAAAAACTAACATTTGTCTTTGCAGCACAACACGAACACAGACATGCGCATGCATGCCCACGCTCACGCGCACACACCAAAACACATACAAAGCATGCAGCATGCAGCAGCGCCTGACCTACAGGCCAGTGGAAAGTTTTGGAGACACGCAAATTGGGTCATGTGAGGTGGAGGACACGATGGCCTTGGTTGACTTGCCACCTCTCCCCTGCTTGGCACAGTGCCCAACTGAGTGACGTTGGTACACACGCACACACGCTTGTACACACATGGAGCTGGTGCTGGTACAGAGCTTATACTAAATTAACAAATAACAAAATAAAAATTTTACATTCTCACTTTTGGATTCAATGATAAAAGTCCGTTTTTTGCATTGATTTCTAAAAGGTGAAGCCCTCAGGCCTGAATCAATTTAGCTCTACATGAGTGATCATGACTGATCAGTGATCAGTATGTGTGTATGTGTGTGTGTGTGTGTGTGTGTGTTAAAACCATGAAGGGTCATCGCTGCATTGTTTGTCTTGTCATGTGAGCTTGTCGTGGTCTCATACCTCTCCAGGTTGTTGCTGCTGCTAATCTTTGTTTGCTATTTTTGCTTGACTTTCTAACTTATGACCTTGCTTCACCTCCGTCAGCCACAGCTCCCACCTTAAACTGTACTGTAATAACAACAGCTTCTTAATGATCAAGCAATCCAGAGTGTCTTTTAAGTTAGACAGAGTTGTTTCACTTGCTACTGCTGTTCTCCTCTGTGTCTTTTACCTCCATAATCGCTCCTTTTCCCCAGCTGGTGAGAATGTAAGGATTTTTAACCCCCCCCCCCCCCCCCCCACTGGCACTGTGCCATCAATTGCAGTAGAATCTATAGGAGTCCAGAGAAATGGACGCAGGCAGGAGACTAACATTTCACAATTTTCATATCTCAGTCCAAGTTTTACAGAACGTCCTGTCAATTACACAACGCGCATCTTTGTGCAAACCTGACCGGCTCCCTGCAGGTCCCCCAGGTTTATGACCCACATCTCACCTGTCACAATCACCACAAATAATGCTCATCTCGCCGTCTCAGCGGTCGCCGCCTGGCTTGGCACACGGCCTGTCATTGTGTCAGACTGCTGCTATTCTAAAGTAGGAACATGATGACGCTGAGCTGTCGGACGCTGTGCGCACATGTGAGAGACGCATTTTGACAGCAGCCTGTTCCTAAATCCCCTGACTGATGATGCTGCGCCATCACGGAAAAAATCTGGCTTGTGATATGTAGCAGTCACATTTCACGGTTTCCATGCTGGACAGGCTCTGCGTATCATTTTCAACACCTCGCTTCAAAGAGGGGAGCGCTCAGCAGTGGGAATGTGAATGGAATGTGCTGTGATTCTGTGGTGTGAGGGCTTAAAGTCTGTGGTGGCGATGACGGTATGAAATATGTGTTGGGCATTCAGAGCAGCAGGACAGTCAGTCAGAAAGAAGCTTTCAGTTTTAGAAAGTTAAAACCACAAAGGTAAATGTACCTGCTCAGTAGGTGCACCTCAGAGATGCCTAGATATTAAAAAAAGAAAAAGATGTTTGCCCTAAAGGAAAACGTTGCACAATACGTCTCCCTGCTTACGTCTTTACTCTCGTTACTCACCTCTCACGGCTATATATCACTGCAAAGAACTGGCCTCTGGTTGTGCCTGTACACCCATACACACATGCATGCTGTAAACACACATCTGCTCTTTCCTCCAGCTATGTTGTTTTGTAATGCATTTTGATGACTATCATATGGCACTAAACTATATGCCCGGACCTTCGCATTTCTCCCTTCAACATTATCATGAAGATTACACCCAGATCTCCCCACAAAACGACCCCCTCCTTTAAATGACACAAAAGTGATGCGTGACACATAATAACACTTAATAACAATGTGTCGTAACTGCTCTTCAACATAAAGGCAGCCAAGGCCAAAATTGTAAGATGATGGCTGATGTATTGCACAACCATGTGGCGCCAGATATATTGCCGGAAAATGAGGGTTGAGGAATGTCCTGACTGAAATATCAGTGATGCACAAAGGTGTGTGTGTGTGTGTGTGTGTGTGTGTGTGTGTGTGTGTGTGTGTGTGTGTGTGTGTGTGTGTGTGTGTGTGTGTGTGTGTGTGTGTGTGTGTGTGTGTGTGTGTGTGTGTGTATGGGAGCGTATACGTCAAAGGATCATATGTTTTGGCACATGTGCGACATCTGGTAGCGTGTGTTGGCCTGCTTGCCTTTTATCTCAGTGTGTGTTGGAGGCATGCAGGATGTCTTGTCCAATCGGGGTTCTTCTTCGGGAAAGGTCAGGGTCTGCGGCGCTGTCTACCTTGAAGCATATCTCTATTTAAATATAGATGTGATCCAACGATACAGTCCAGTCCAAAGTGTAATACAGCACCGGTCCTACCAGGGCTTAAAAATGTACAGGACGCATGCACAGTATTATGGCAGATATAAGTGTCTGATATATAGTGTATAACATTCTCTTCAGAATTATACCGCAGCTGTATTGAGGGATGATGACCTTTGTGATCAGATTTCACAGACAAATAGTGAATGCTCCTTCAAGAGTCCACAGCAGAAAAAATTTAATCCTGAACTTCCTGGTCTTTGGGTCACTGTTCACACATTTCTAACAATTACAAAGCACAGTAAAGAACAGAAACATTCTTTTAAAGGCATGTCTGTATGACAATTTGGCCATGACTGAAGGTGATCAGGGAACTGAGTCTAGTCCTGATCCGCCTGAGGTTGCAGACAGGGCAAGCAAAAAGAGGAAGGACTGTGATAGCATAATGTGAGAAATGCATCTGTTAAGCAAGCAGTTTCTTGCAGACTTGGATACTGTAATACATGATGTAAGTAGGGGATATACACATTTGTATCCTTGGAGCTCCAGCGAAGTTCAAGAAAATAATGAAAATGACCATATTTTCTTAATAATAATATTAGTAATAATAAATAAACTTGCAAGCAAGTATAAGAGGGTCTAACACCCCGTGCAATTCAGTTTACATCCGTGCACTGTGCAGTAAGTCATTTTCAAGCTACAGAGAGTGAGCTACAGTGTGTTGCTCTCTTTCAACCAGGGTTTCTTCAGGAGGACCATCAGGTTGAAGCTGGAGTACGATAAGTGTGAACGCAACTGCAAAATCCAAAAGAAGAATCGCAACAAGTGCCAGTACTGCCGATTCCACAAGTGCCTCTCTGTGGGCATGTCCCACAATGGTAATGCAAAGTAGTTGGAAGCTAAACTGTGTAACTTTGAATGAATCTGTGAAGTGTACATTAGCTATCACTGTGATCTTAACAATTACTGTAATTGTAATGTCCATTGAACCGATTATATAGCCATGAAAGAATTTGAAAAGTAAGCATTATGAAAGCAGTTACGTAAAACTCTGCTCGCAAACATCCTCAGACGACACCGTGGCACGTGTTCTTTACAACAACAACAGACATGTCCTTCTGTGATTTGGCTCCAGTTCAATGTGCTTTACATTGACTGGGCTTTTATAGAACAATGTCCTGCTGGAGCCGGCTTGACATTGAGAAACCACAGGCCCGTATACAGAGCGGTGACAAATTAAAGGAAAAACCAACATTAAGTGTCTCTGAACTCTGCTGGAGGGATTAACAGCGTTCTCAACAAAAGATATTCCCTCATTTGGTGTTTTGATGATGGTGGTGGAGAGCACTGTCTCTCTCCCATAGGTGTTCATGAAGACCATAGTATATGATTCACATGATTTTCATACTCATACATTCAGTGACCCCTCGTGCCCTATTGATGGAGGCATTAGCATCCTGGAAGAGAGCATTCCCATCAGGATAGAAATGTTTCATCATAGGATGAAGGTGATCACTCAGAATACCTTTGCATTGATTTATTGTGAGCCCTCCCTCTAAGGGGACAAGTGGACCCAAACCATGCCAGCAAAATGCCCCCACCCCCCGCAGCTTAACAGAGCCACCGGATCCCCTCACTGTAGGGGTCAAGCATTCAGGCCTCTCCTGTTCTCTTGGTGTACACCACACATGTACTCGCTCACTTGAGGAGTCTGATTACGCATTGACAGTCACCCGAGTGAGAGTTGCTCTTCTGTTTTTCCTTACATACACATGAGCATCACGTTCATCAAATGTTCCACCCTATTTACTGACGTCTTTCCTGTAGATCTAAATGCAGATGTCCCTTTAGTCACTGTTCCTATTGAAACACTGGCCAGTTGGGCGTCCGTGCCCCAACAATGATCCGTCATTCAAAGTCACTTAGATCTTCCTCTTGCAACTCTTGATGTAAAATCAGAATCAGCTGAGCCTGCTCAGTATTTTCATACATGCCACAGAGCATGATGGGATGTTAATTGCTTAATGTGTGGCAGCATCTGCATTTGTTATGCTTCTCCACTCATTTATTCAGGTTTTTTCCTTTAATTTGCCACCCGTCTATGACTCCACATCTGGGCTGTCATCTGTGCTGACTGCCGAAGGGTCATTGGGTTTGTTACAATGGCCTCCCACTGCAGACAAGAACAGTGTCAGAAACCTGAGAGGGAGACGGCATGTTGTCCTCAGAGGAGACAAAAGAGAACAGAACACACCAGACCTGTTGTGGGTGAATGTGAATGCACGTTTGCTGCAGGAATATATGTCTGATATCTCTGTCTGTAGTTTCTTTGTGCATTAAGATAAGTCTTCTAGCGGTTGCTGATAATGAATGCCTTTATGCACCAGCCATCCGGTTTGGTCGGATGCCCCAGGCGGAGAAGCTGAAGCTCAAGGCTGAAAGCAAGATGGTGGAGAAAGAAGTGGAAAGCCCCATGCTGGCCAGCCACAAGACTCTGGTCAAGCAGATCCACGAGGCTTACATGAAGAACTTCAGCATGAACAAGGCGAAATCAAGGCTCATACTCACTGGAAAAACCAGCAAGCCGGTGAAGTAGAAAAAAAAGGATAAAAATTTGAGGATACTCTTTATTCTGCACCTCTACTCCGTCTTCTGTGTCACCTACCAACATCCTCTCCTCTGTCTTTCCCAGCAGCCTTTGATCATCCATGACATGGAGACCTTCCAGTTAGCGGAGAGGACGCTGGCAGTCCATATGGTAAACAGTGACTCTCCGGAGCACGAGAGCGGCCTTCAAGCTGGGGATGTGGTTCCAGGTGTGGGGTGTGGGGAGCTCCAGCAGATGGAGGCCGAAGCGAGGCTCTTCCACTGCTGCCAGAGCACCTCGGTGGAGACGGTCACGGAGCTGACGGAGTTTGCTAAGGCGGTGCCGGGTTTCCAGAGCCTGGATCTGAATGATCAGGTGGGTTTAGGGAGCTGTATCTGTCCTGTATCTTCCTGTCATTCCACGTGAGAAGGTACAGACGGTGTGCTTTTATTTTGTTTGTAATGTGATGACTTGATTTCCTTCCTTTTTTCCCCTCCTCACGCTAAGGTGACTCTGTTAAAGTACGGTGTTTACGAAGCCCTCTTCACCCTCCTGGCCTCCTGCATGAACAAAGATGGCCTCCTCGTGGCCCGTGGTGGAGGCTTCATCACCCGTGAATTCCTCAAAAGCCTCCGGCGTCCATTTAGTGACATGATGGAGCCAAAGTTCCAGTTTGCCACACGCTTCAACTCTCTGGAGCTGGATGACAGTGACCTGGCTCTTTTTGTGGCTGCCATTATCTGCTGTGGAGGTAACTGACACTGTGTGGAGGAATATCAGATGATAGGAATTGAAAAAAAAACAAAAACAACTTAAAAGTGCACAAAGAGTGAATCCTCCCTCTTCATCGTCTTTGTCCCTCTCAGACCGTCCAGGCCTGGTGGATGTACCGCTAGTGGAGCAGCTGCAGGAAGGCATCGTTCAGGCACTACGGCTCCACCTGCTGGCCAACCACCCTGACGACACCTTCCTCTTTCCCAGACTTCTGCAGAAACTGGCCGACCTCCGGGAGCTCGTCACCGAGCATGCTCAGTTGGTGCAGGAAATCAAGACAACAGAGGACACGTCGCTGCACCCTCTCCTGCAAGAGATATATAGGGACATGTACTGAGACGCTATCACATGGTCATGAGCAGGGACATGTATTAAAATGTTAATGTTAGCCAGGTATACCCAAAACTGGGTATACATACAGTATACAACATTAACTGATACTATCATGCATATCATTGTACTGTAAGTAGCTTATTGTGCACTGCTGTGACCATGTGACTCTAAATCATTCTACTGGAACAATACAGAAGTGAAATTCTTTTTAAGGGGAATGGCAGCTGTGGCAGGGGACCTGACTGCTGCTATGAAAGGGGACACAGTGGGGAACAAACTTTTTGAACTCGCACCATAGATGGCTAGAGATGTGTTCCTTTTAAATGCATCGATTTGAACTAAAAGCACCACTTTGCCATTGATTGGGTCCTGGATGCCAGCTTTTACCCTCCGGACACAAGTGCAGGAGAAAAGCTACTTAGGGAGTAGGCTATGAAAATATGCATGGGTGAACACATATTAAAGATACCCCGACATGACTGCCAAAGTCATGCCTGCACTGATGCTAAATGCTAATTGTGCCTGTGAACAATAAAGTGAATGTTTTTAACATTTTAAATCTTTGATACAACTGCAGTGTTGGCTGTGCAAAAGGAGCTTAAAAGTCATATTCCTAATATATTTGGATATTTAGTATGATGTGTTAATTCAAAGATCGTTTGAATGAGGTTAATATCACTGTCATGTTATTTTGTTGTGTACTAGTGCCTTAAATTTCCTTGGACCATCTTGAGATTAGTGGTTGAAGAAAGGCCTTTATCAGTTTTCACCAAGTGTTGTAATGTTTCACCAGCTGACCTCATATTTCCTTTATTCTGACCACACCTTAAACATTCAACACATAACAAATACAGAACAGAATACTTTTATAAGCCATGATTTAGATATATCACTATTTAATGTTGGACCAGGGAATGTTTTCACATAGTATTAAATCAACCATCATTTGAAAATATTGTAATTTCATGGGTTATGTATTTATCTCCTACTGCTAAAACCAGGACAACATGATAGTTCTCACTCATAGATCAGTGTTACCTGTAAAAAATGTTTTGTAGAAATTCTTAAGGGCATTTTTGTTTTTTCAAGAAAAAGCGGTGTTGGCCAGTATTGAATATTTTGACCACAAACATAATAATCTGTTAAGCTGGTTTGTGTTTTATTTTGTAAATATGACAAGAATGTGGTGACCACAGTGAAATGGACGGATCTGCAGACAGTAACGCAGTACTCAAAAAGATCGTATTGCCTTGTTTCCTAGATTTCAACCCTCCCTGTGTCGTACAGAAACATTGTTTCTTGTCATAATGAAACTGTTTATATATTTTGATTGTGTACAGTACAGTGTACAATAAGAAAATGCATTTGCTGTTTTAATAAATTTAGTTATTTGGTAGCCCAGAATAAACTATTATATTTTACTGACTTTTATTTGTAATGCACTGACTTATTTACCTGCCTATTGAGGATAATATTATCTGTTCCTCTGATTCAGACCCCAATTAGTTAATTGCCTTTTCTTTTTCTTTTTTTTTTTACAGCAGACATTTTGAATTGTCATAGCAGGAAAAGCACAGGTGGAACTAATAATGTAAATGACAGCTTTGTCCCAGCAAGCCCTTAATGTTATTAATTACACCTGTGCTTTTTTCTTTAATGACATGTTAGACTTTCTGCTGTAAAAACGTATTAATTTAGGATTATTTTTACTATGGAAATCTCTGGTTCACTTTCATATACTTTTATATACAAAACGGGCCTATCCACATACACTGCTTGAGCATTATAAAATATATTGATATATATATATAAACTGCCTTCACTGTGGAATATTGGTCAAATGTTCAGAGTTTTATTTTCCATTTGTCAATAATTTTTTTTTTTTTAAATCAAACAACAAAACCACTTATAACTAAATAATTATCATCTATTTTATTTTTATACGTGTACTACAATATGTCCTACACAATGTACGGCTCTACTCCCCCACGCCATTAGGTGGCGGTAAAGCTTCATGAAACAACATGGCTGAACGGAGATAGACTCGATTTGAAAACCAGGAACAAACTTTTTTTGTGCTCTCAAGCTCTGAACGATGGAGCAAACTACTAGTGAAACCCCTCAAAAAACATTTAGTTGCCAGTTGTGTGGTTTAACTAGCCCTTATACTTACTACGGCCAGAAACCACCAAACACGAGAGCTATTGTGTAAGTGAAAATTAAGCAAAAACTGTCCTACCGCTGCGGAGCTAGCTTAGCGAAAGCTAATGTTGCTGCTACGTGACTGTATGTGATGTTATGTCTAACGTTAAATACACGGCGAAAATAGCCCTCCAGCGACTTGTAGGGTGCATTTAAACAATTTCTGCTTTGAATCTCACTCCTGTTTTTTTCTGGGAATCACGGGGAACTAAATTAAGTTAAAATTTAGCTTATGTCTGGCTGTCTGCTCTCCATCAGGCTGCTTGAGGAGTGTTTTGTGACCAAGGATCCCTTCAGTCCGGACAAGGAGAAGTTTCTTGTTTTGGGGTCTACCTGCAGCCTTTGCAACCTGTGTGTCTGTGTCGGATCGGTAAGTTGTGTTAAGATTGAAATGCTACGGTATGTTTATGCCACAGACTAAATATGTAATTAATAGCTGGATGTTGACATGCTCCTCGAGGGAGGACATCAGTTCTGATAAAACCGTGAACCCGTTACATGTAGCAGAGCGAGAGATTATTCATCGTGTGTGAGTGTGTGCCTTTTAAGATACAGTATGTAAGAAAGAAACCATCGACATCAGCTATAATTGCATGTTAACTGTCTTTGAATATAAAGCGTGTTGCTGCTGTAGTTTTCCACTTGACATGAGTTGACCTTGTAGATCACTGTTGAAAAACATGTCTGTGCTTTTGATGTTTTCCTCTGATGTGGCATATGTATGTGCTGAGTGAACTTTGAGACTGATGCCCTTGAAATCAATTAATCTAGTTTAACAAATAAATATGAAATTAAAACATCTTCCTACGTTAGAATAAGTGTGACTAGTCATATCTGGTGCTTATGTGAACTTCCAGCATTGATGGTGAACTATGCTCTCTCTTCTCTCAGGACTGCAGTCTTTTCTACACCAAGAGGTTCTGCATGCAGTGTGTGAACAAGCACTTGCACCAGTTCCCCCATCAGATTCAGTCTGAACTGGCCAAGAAGAAGCAGAGCTCCAAGGCTGCTGTCTCATGACATTGGGCAAGATGTCCATAACCTGCTCAGGTGCCTAGGAAAAATATCTGAATAGCTGTTTTCATTAATTGTTTTTATCAGCGCTTTTGATTAAATCCATACTAAGCCAAACTATAAATACACAGTGCCGAATAAAAAAACATCCTCTACTTAATTGGCATCGCTCTAGGTTATGATAATTTTGGTGGGAAAATTAACACACATCCATTAGAAAAATTCTTGTTTATGCTTGTGGCCAGTACATTAGCCCGCTGCATTAGCTAACCAGGTTTTATTTGTTTAATGTAGGGTTTTATAGAAGCGAACAGCAGGTGTGACTAGTGTTGCCAGACCCCTGTTGCATTGTGTCTGCAGGCTCAGAATTAAAAACGATTCCCAGTTTAAAACCTCATTGTCATGTACTGCATGTGGATAGTTGCCCTGAAGTTCATCTAAATTTTCTGTTGCTGTCCAACTATTTAGAGGTATGACAACCTTTTTAAAAAAATGTGCACATTGCAACAAAAAAGATTTGTCAAATACAGATGAACAGTATTAGAATTAGTGCTATAATATATTCAGTTATTTCCACAAGGGTCAGTTCAGCTCAGTTCAGCAACTATTCCAGGCTTCAACAATATTACAAGTATGAATGTATGGCTCAAAAGAGAAATATGGAAGTAATAGTATTTCCAAAGACCAGTTGCTAGGCAGACCAGATTCATGTTTCCATTGCTGTTGAAATGGAAAGAAATTAATACACTTCTTACAGTTTTTCTTTACACTTGATGAATTATGCCTGTCGCGCAATTTTTTTAATGCTCCTTTTTATGAGAGAACTCATTTTTATTACTTTTCAGCGACATATGGTATTAGTAACATTTATTACACATCCTCTCTAACGATAGACATATGTGTGTTGACAGTGACACATCCTTTGCAAGAGTGCATTACTGCTGTCCCTTTGATTCCTTTGTTCATGGTCAAAGGGTGAACTGTTGACTTCTGTGGAGTCAAAAAATATTTTTCTATGTTATCTAAAAACCATTAAAAAAAAACAAAGTGGCTTTTCTCTGTTGTTTTGTGAGTGTTTAATCGTGGATCATAATTAATGTGTAACTAACGTGTGTAACTAATGTTCATTTTACTATCAGAATCTGCCACAGTCGTATCATCCCACTGGGTGACATTTAGTGGTAAGAAACTCTTACTCCCATTTTGTCATTTTAAAAATACACACTTGATGTCAAACCTAGCTTCCCAACTAATAATGATCAAAATGACACTGTAGGGACATGCTAATAAAACATCAGTGGTGTTTTGGGCATTGGTTCCTGGTGGAGAAATCACAACCTTGGCTCAGCAAAACAAACAAAACAAAGAAACTTGAGGAGAGTCATCTCAAGGTTTCACATCTATTGTGATGGATTCTCTAACTCATACTTTTTTTTTTTTCCTCTGAAGCTAGGAGAACGAGCCTTAATATTTCCAACTGTGAAGGAAAAAAACACAAGCATTAGCATTAACCAAAGCATTGGTTATGCATGTGTGACCTTAACAAAATGTTCTCTTGCCTTGTTTCTCACTCGCCCGTCTAATCAGTTCGATCAAAATCTGTTTTCAGCTGAGGGATCACTCTGCACAACACTGCACAGTTTGCAGCAGCATAAACACATTATGGATTAAGTGTGATCCCGGCGATAACATCAATATAACAGATGGCCTCACTGTATTTATCACGAGATGCTTGAGTCTTTTCGAGGGTTAACTGAAACAGCATGGCCTTAAACACAGGCCCAGTGAGTTTTACTGGCAAATAGTGCAGAGGAATGTAGAGTGACACTCTGTAGAGGTTTAGTTGGGACATCATGAACTTCTGGGTATGTGTAGTGCTAACTGTTGCAGATGTTTTCACTCAGTTACTACAGGATTCCTATGCAGCTCTGAGATGTACAGAAAATAAATTTGCTAACTGCACAGTCTTGACATGAGCGCCAATTAAATTCTTAAGTGAGGAAATTTTTTAAGATGCAAACTGAGAGCCCACTGAGGGAAATGGCTTGAATTTGAAAGTTTTTTTTTTTTTTTTTTAAAGCTGCACCACTTTCTGTTTGCTTGGTATTTAAATTCTAAGCACACGCAACCAATTACAACCAGTGAAGCACGCAAACCACCCCTGTGGCAACAGTGGCAGAGCCTGAGAGCGATAGGCACCTAGCCAACGATGACAGAGGACTTTCTGCTCGAGAGCTGATGTCATAGGATGCAATGAGGCAGCTTTGTGGCTTTTTTTTTTTTTCTTTTGAGTTGTTTTCCTGCATGAAACCTCACGCTAGTGTCTCACTGACCTTCACTAACCTTGAAGTTGTAAGTGAGTAGATTTACAGTGATTGAATCAAGTGTGCCTAAGCTGTTTATGTGAATCAGATGAATCTGTCAGCACACATACATACTATCATCACATCTTGATGATTGGTTTATGTGATAGTATTAGCAACCTGAAGTCTCCTGCAGTGACATCAATCTTTTATAAATGTTGTTTTCTTGTCAGGTTTTACACTTCAGACAATTATCTGATTTTTTTTTTAATCCACAGCATTTTACAGTGCATGAGCACACATGCAAATAAGATCAAATGAAATCTGTGACCTTTAAGCTTCATGTCTGACCTGATAAATCAGGTGTTAATGGGAAGATAAAACACGATCATTCACGCCATTATATCTAATGCCTACCTCCCATTTGCTCTTTCTTATGTATCTAACTAATCAAACAGAATAATTAGGCTATATTCATGCACAGAGTTAATCCAATCCAGCTCTGTGTTGTTGTTGCCCCTGTTCGACTTTAAGAGATCTATGGGCGGTCCTTAGTCGGCAGACCAATGAATTGCCTTCTCTGTTTAAATAGTCCTTGATGTCAACTTTTCTTCTTCACTCATAGCTCCCTCTAACGCCATGTTGGCTGTCATGACTTGACTTGTTGTTTTCATCAGTCTTACTACGGACTTGACAGGAGTGGCTCTCTTAAACCCCCCTGCGCCTTTGGAGACGCTTTATTCCGTTTTTGCGCGTACGCGTTTTGGATGATACGCGCGGAGTATGCATGCATCATTCCCGTGACTGTGCATTTGAAAGGAATACTACTTGGAAATAGCAGTTTTTCAGACGCTTTTGGTTGTTGTTTTTGTGTTTTTTTTTTTACCCTTGTCATATGTGCAACAAAATGTCAGATGTTCGCCTTTCTAATGCGAGCCCGACATTGGAGAGGGGGGTGGATGCGCGGCAGCAAGACAACCTCAGACCTCGGGTTAGCAGAAATCTTTTCGGCCGACCTAACCCAGAGGAGATACAGAGGAATTTGGATGCTGTAGTGCAGGAAGAAGTGCAGGCTTTTAGGGAGAGGTACAATTTCGACCCGGAGACCGACAGACCGCTGAGTCCGCGTAACTATGAGTGGCAGGAGGACAGCGACCCACCGGAGTTTTATCTCAGACCGCCTCACGGGAGCCAGCGGCCCCAGCGAGATGTGGACTTGTCCGGCGATAACCAGCAGCAGGACGCCGAGGAGAGGAGTGAACGGCGGTCGACTCGCCAACCAGACAGACACGGTTCAAAGAAAAGACGTCGAGGAGCTTTAGGTGATTTACCTTGACTTATTCAAGCTGTCACGCATTTTTAGTTTCCCCTGTGCTGTGCGTCTCTGTAGAGCCGCTGTGCCGCAATGCAGAGGCGCCAAGCTCACAGGCTCCGATCGGTTCGATCACCGCGTCTCTACAAACACACACAAGCGTGCTGGAGCAAATCACCGAGGGGGTGGGTGGGGGGGTGAAGGAGCAAACAGAACATTTCTGCCCAAATGTTAAAAAGTTATCTGAACTCTAGTTGTTACTAAAGGTATTAGTGCAGTGCACATTTACTCCAGAGATCAAATGCGCTTATTACACTGTAGTTTGCACACATTTCCTTCTCAGTCCTCGGGCCACTCGGTACAAGAGGCTAAAATTTCTTCACGGTTTGGCAGCAGCAGTCTGCCGTGTCTGTCAGGTGCTTTTTTAAAGGGGACGTGCAGCTCGACACGCCAACACCCTCACAACTTTTCTGCATGCTTACTTTATTTTTTATTTTTTATATATTTTTTTGTCAGGTCCCTGCTCCGGCGAGTGTCAAAGTAAAAGGTTGCATTCCGACGAAGATGATGATGAAGACCAGTCGAACGGTACAGGAAGTCAGGCGGTTAAAGCCGCGGAGGAGAGACCCAGCAGGCCGGAGAGCAGCGCGGAGGTCCAGTGAAAAAAGTGCCAGGTTAGAAACCATTATCTCACTGTGCCTCTGATGTCAACTGATGTGAATGGATAATAACACACAGCTCTTCAGTGTGCCAATCACTAATTATCGGCTTTTATTTCGGATGCCAGTGGAGTTGTGTTTACTTGTTTAGCATCAGCATCAACCCAAAACCGTTGTAAACACTTCTGTCCTGCACAACTCTTAACACGTCATCACCTCTTCAAACATACATCATATTGTTTTGTTTTCCACAACCTTTCACACTATGACTGTTCACCCTCTGTGTGTGTGTGTGCGTGCGTGTGCGTGCGTGCGGATGCGCGTGTGCGTGTGTGCGTGTTTGTCTGCACGGGGGATATCAAACATGAGCAACTGCTTTTTCAATTGCACCATTCAACAGCCCGTTTCCTCTTTATGTCCCACAGAGCGGGGAGACCTGTTGCTGGTGGAATACTGTAGCCTTTTCTCATCATCTGACAGACGCGGGAGAAAATTAAAAAAAAAAAAAAAAAAAAAGAAAGAAAGAAAGAAAGAAAAAAATCAGCCTTTTCCTAAAGAGGGGGAGGAGGAGAGGCTGCACAAGCACTGAATATGTACACTATCAAGTTTTGGCACTCGTTTTAATTAAATTGCCTCAGAAGCAGCAGACAATGTAGCAGTGTGCAAATGGATTTTTGCTCATCTTTTTTTATCTACTACCTATGTTTCAGATGTAGCACATAAAAAAGCATGATATGCTTTTCATACCTTTTGTTAAATGTATTTGAATAAGTGTGTGAATTTGACTCGGGAAGTTGCAGTGCAATTTCCAACAGAGAAATATTATTTTGTTAAAAATGGTCATGTTGTATCATTATTCAGGTAATTGATGTAAGTTACAAATGCAGATTTCAAAAGTCAGGGTTATGTGGAAACAAAATGTCTTCACTTTTTCTATGGCTTTATTTGTCCCAGTGTTATATATCTTGTGTTTGAAGGCCCAGATGGCCACACTGTAAGTTGAGGGTCCATCTAACTGGGAACAGCCATGATAGATCAAGTTTACATGCAAATAATAATTCCTTATTTCCCCTTTTTTTTAATGTCATTATTCTATTTTTTTTTTCTGGGTTTTTGCCAAAGTTTGTGCCTTTTTTTTCTGTGTTTGAGGGGTGGGGTGGGAGGGTGGCTAAACTGCTGAGCAATATCCAACCAAATTTTAACAGTATTTGCTAATAATCCTAAGAATTAGCTTTTATTTTTAAATTAGGTGAAATAATTTTTTAGTGGCTTGTAGGTCACATATCCCACCCCTTGTAATAAATTTTGTAGTCCAGGTTAACATAAGTAAAATATGTTAAAATCACAGGGCTACTTATTATGCAAATATGTGAATCAAAGATTTGTCTTTGTGGTGTGGAATTCATGTGGAACATGTAATTGCACTATTGTTAATTTCTCATTTTTGTGAAGGCAGAAAACAAAGTTACACTGCCTTATCTGGTGTCAAACTTTGAAGTGTACCTGTGTGCCTTTTTTTATTTTCTATTTTTTTGTTTTGAAAAACACTGAAAAAATTATACTAACTTATTTATGTTGAGCTTTTTTTGTGGGTGTATGTATAGCTTCCCAAAGCAACATTTTTGTGCATTTTTGTAAATATATATTTTCATTATTGTTTTTATGATAAATAAACTGTTGCAAAACTGAGCCTAATAATCGATTTTATACCCTGCGTATTTTGTATTTTGTCTTTTCTGCGGTCGGCATTAGGATTGATTAAAAAGTATCGCTGGTGTAATAAATGCATGTGCTCACTATTTTGATTGCACAGCACACAACCACTCCACCCTTAACAAATACACATACACTCGCATTTTAAGTTTAAACTGATCCGCCCATGTAAACTGGCAGGCTGGTCATAGTGATTACAGTCTTAAACAAAGACCTGATGGAGATAGAGCCATGTTATTAAATAGATTTAGTTTGTCCTTCAGTTAAGTGAATGACACAGTAGTGATAGGATCAGTAACTATACCATCATTGATCAACAGTGTAACCACTATTAAATCACTTCATGAAGAGCCTTCATGCTTTACAATAAGGCTTTAATGACCTTATAATATCTATATTTTTCACAGTCATAATTCAGCTGTGATCTTATTTCTGTATGAACTTGACAACCAAAGCATTTCTGTAATATTCCCATAATCTGCAAATAGGAACTCTCTCTGTTATGGAGTTCCTAATGCACCAACAATATTTGGTGTAATAAAAATATACATGTGCTGTGGAGCTAAAATCCAGTGTAAATCTCGAGTGCAGCCACAGCACCAGAGTGCAGGCTGTGACTGTGCTGGATCGTCTCAGCCCAGCTCTGTCTCTAAAGTTGAAAACAACAAGGGTATGTCCTGAGGAAAAGAGGGAAAAAAAGTTTTTCGTGATTGGCTTTCCCTGGCTCCAATCACAGCAGAGAGAAGAAAAGCAGACCACTTATGAGCCAGCCAGTCAGAGGGCTGTGGGAGGGAGCCCAGGACAGTACAGGCTGTTCTTTTCATAAAACACACACCACCCAATTAGTTTCATTGGCTGACTCTTTCCTGTTGATACCAGCTTGTAGGAGTCAAATACAGAGTGAGAGAGAGAGAGAGAGAGAGAGAGAGAGTGAGCTATTCCTATAATATCTCGTACTGGCTGTGAGTGTCTGCAGTAATTACTAGTGAGCTCATGGCCTTTTAAAAAAAACTTTTCGAGACAATCGTGACACTTTTAAAAATAAAAAAAAATTTTTTTTTTGACAATATACATTTCTTACTTTTGACCTCAAGACATGACAAATGCCAGAATCGCATTTAAATGGATCAACATCAACATAATGCTTCCTCAGGATGCAGCATTGCATCATTGTAAGTTGAGGAGGTTTGTGTCTGTTTGCTTGACAGATATCTCAAAAACCTGGTCCCTCATCTTGTTTTGTGTACTTCACACATTTCATTCCAATTTGGCGGAAAAAAATCATTTGTTTTTCATGTTGATCTGGATATGACAGCACCACCATGTGGTATTTTACAAAGCATCTGGCATTTGGATATGGGTATTTGGATAACTGATCTAAAAAAGGAGTTAAAAAAGTATTAGCCTAGTTTATCAAGGAAATCTTGGTTCAAGAAGAATCTATCAGTATAAGCTGTGCACATTTCCACCAAAAGATATTTTCTTATTTTTCACCATTAATCCGGCCTCCTACTAATGTTTTACATGATTAAAAATGCAATTACAACCAAACTTGGATAATTCATGCCAATATCAGCTGTTAACTGTTTTTACACTTTTACCCTTCAGGTGCGACAACAGTAATATTATATTGTTATAAGTCTGGGTGTTATTGTCAACATTTTTGTTGACACAGACCAGAGGTGGGAATAAGTCATATATGTGCAAGTCACAAGCAAGTCTCACATGTAGCTTTATTTTAGCATAAACTAATATTTGCACTTGGAGTGTACAAAGGTATGTCTACATGTACGCCGATGACACTGTAGTGTATCCTCATGATGGTCCTTAAAAAACATATTGCTGCTAATCTCATAAATACCAGGCTGAATCCCTGTTGTCTGCAACTAAATATTATTCAATAAACAGCTCTACTGCAGAACCCATCCATCCATTAGTTGTAAGGGGTTGTGTGGGGGCTGGAGCCTGTATATCCCAGCTATAGCTGCAGAACCTGAAGGTTTAAAATCACAACAAAGGTCACTGGTTGTAACTGAACCTAATTATCTTTTAATTCTTATCAGCTCCAGTCGGTCTGTCATGGTCACTGTGAAAAAAGTCTAAATTGAATCAAATCCCTTGTAGACAGTTTCAGATGCATAATAGGCTACGTGTCAGATGAGGTGACCTTAGATGCACAGTAACCATTTCTCACAGGATTTATTGTTCAACACGCTGTGGCAGGGGAAAACACACTACTTGAATCTGTGCAGGGAAAATTTGATTTTACACACAACTGTATCTCTTATGTAAAAAATTATGCAGAATTTATATGTACTTAGAGTTGTAAATTCTACATATAATTGCTTTATGCAACTTTGCCATAATTCACATGCTTGTGTCCGGTGTCATGAACTGTATTTTTTGCCTTTGTTTCTACTTAAAATGCAACTTTACTTAAAACGGATGAAAACCAACCTTTTGGCTACCTCTACATGTGCAATATGCATACTGACAGTGTAAATCAAATGAACACAAAGGGTACATGGAGAGCCTCCAAGTACATTCAGTCAGGAATCATACATAGAATATGGCAGGTAGACTCCATTAAATGGACAAATAATGACCCTCTCTTCTCTGGTTAAATCAAGTCTTTGTCTTAAGGAAAAAATCTTTTACGTTTAACTGGCTCATGACATTTAGCTGATGTTTGTTAGAAGCGACAGTGATTTCCGGTCAGTGAAATACCAATTTCCTCTTCATTTTCTCAGGTTTCCAGCTCCAGTATAAATGAAAATAACATATGAAGCAGATGCCGTTTCAAAAAAGCAAAATCAGCTAAGTGCTCAAAATGATCTCTACTGTATAGAGGGGCAATTTCACTAGCATTAGTGGAAACGTACATTTGTGACCATTTATTTTTCTGAATCCTTCACCACAGCAAAACACAACACAATGACGAAGTTTAGCTTCTCAGATAAGGATGTGGCTTTGCTGCATCTACCAGGGCCCAGAACCTTCAGGAGGTTGCAATTACACGTTGTTTGCTTTGTGTGTATGTAAAGCAAACGACCTGCTGGTCCCACCTGACTCAGAGCAGAATGGCAGTCAACAGAATCGGAGCGCGGCAGACATTTTTTTGAGGTTGATGGTCTGTAGAAAGCATGGCAGAGGAGATGAAGACATGCTGTGTATTCCCTGCAAGTAGAAAAACAAATCACAACTTGAATTTAAGACTCACTATCTGTCAAATATAACAGTTGTGAGCCTGTATTAACCCGTAATCTAGGATTTAGGATATCTATTAAAAGCCACGCACAGCCATTGTTCACAGGTGTTTTCACTCATTAGTTCAGCTCCAACCTGAGCAGAGGTCTAATTAGCTACAACTCAAATCACCTGTGTGGAAGTGCAGAGTCTTTAAAAAGGGTCATGATCTGCATTGTTCAGTGCTGTCAGCCCTTTGCAAGCAAGCTGCAATACCTCTTGGTGCCTAGCTTTTTGTTACTATACATGATGGTCAAGCAAAAAAGTTTGACAATTTAGTGGGTTTTTGTTTTTCAAAATAAGGTTGTAACTGATTTAAAATGCGGCTCTTGATTTAGAGAGGGTTAAACACTCCCGAAGGGGCGGTCAGTGTGAGGGAATGAGGTAAACCTTCGACCTCAAGGTGGTGCAGGAAGAGAGGTAATAGATGATGCAGATATGACATCACCACTTCAATGGATTTCAGAGAGCGGTGCCAGGCATGACCTCAAAACCGCGGCCCATACAGAGTGTGGGTGTCTCTGTGTATGTTTGTC